CTTCTTCCGAAGGGCGATCAAGGTTTACATTCCATTCGCCCGTATGCATTATCTCCACCGGCTGTGTTGCAGGAGGCCAGCTGAACTGCTCTTCGAAGTGTTCGGCCCATCTCTCCAGTCGACGTTTTTGCGAGTGAATTAATGAGCCATCTTTTTCACTTATCGTCTCGCTGACCTTTGCTGACGTGCTCCAGCAATAGCTGAATTTGAGTCCAGTGTGAAATAACAAGAATTGTTACACCAAGGAAAGAGAAGGACTAGCGAAACGACAGTGATGACAAATACGACGAATCCCGAAACTCAACAGAGGCAATCAAATTAGGCGCAAACATCCCGCTACTGCCGTGGTATTAGTAGTATGTGGTTACCGTGGTTGCTGCTGCCCCCCACCGCTTTAGTAAAGGGGTCCTCAAAGGTTCAATTTCAACCGCTCTCATCCATTCGATTTTCGCCACATGAATCTGCTTAGCACCACACCTTCCGGGTATATCTGCTTAATAACAAAATGGACGACCTCATGGGTAACATTATCCTGTCCCAGAACACTGTTTTGCCCAAACTCTGTTTGCTGAATTCGGCTACGATCATCTGCGCCTCATTCGACGTTCGACTGAAGACAACGGTCTCTCAGCCTCGTTAATCCATTTATCAGTCCAATCCCATAAAAAACCACGTATACAACGAAGTGCTATTAAACGGTAAAGTTGCGGCAAATATTTACACTGTTCCGGAAGGGATCATTGAACCCCTTGGTACTCCAGCTACTTCTGTGCACGATGACGAAAAACTTAGCGTTATACTCATCTTTTTGTCTGCATAAATCCGACAGAATTTTCTACACTTGAATCCAGTAGGCCTTTTCCCATAAATGCGTCACCGTTAGACTACGGGGTAAGGCAATGTAATCATCTAGGAAAAACAGACAGCAACAACCAAAGTATTAGAATCGGAGCTTTCAAACCGAGTACGTCGGTTTGTTGGACATTTGCTCACCATCCAAACGGCCTTGATGTTTTGTACGTTCCACCTCGGCCAAAAACGCTAGTTGTGAAGGGAGTATTATCGGAGAAGGTGGTATCCTGGATTTCCCATCGGATAAATGCAACGAACGGACGCGGGCGACTGAAGTCGACAAAGCAAAACAGTAGTTCGTCCAGGAGGGTCCCAAATTAATAGCCACTTCGCACATTGACGGATCATTCAAATTGAGCTGTGGTACAAAGCCTTCCAGTGTGGCATTGTCAACTATAAAGTCTGTCTGAATGAAAAATGGTGCGCGAAAATGAGAGTATGGGGAGAAAATAAACGTTGTTAATGCGTCACTCCAAACTAGCTTTATTTAGCCATCATTCACATAAACATGGACGACAAACAGGTCAATTCGAAGCAGCCAATCCATATCGACATCAGTTCTGGAAACAAACAACTCAAGGAATAAAGACTAAGCTCGCTAAGAACAAAAACAAAGCGCTTCCTTTTGAGGTGACACTACGTATAGAGTTGCTGAAAACCCGCCGACAGCCCGCGACCGGTTTCACCCTCCTTGGGGCTCATCGGGTAGGCGTAGTCCCCGAGTTGCCGTCAATTACATATTCTTCTTGAACACCAAATTGTAAGCAACTAGTGGAATACGTTCATTCCCAAAGTAATCTAGTGTTGACAGAAGACTCAACTGAATCCACGTAGTCTCTTGTTTTCTCTCCCTCGTTTCTTCGTCGGATATTGTTAAGAGTCCAGAGATATCCGGGAGTACCAAAAAACAGCCTGGGAATAATCTACCAACTCAGTAGCCAACCTCACCGCCATACTCATCGACTTATTGTATACTTGGAGAAAGGCGAAACAATTTCAAAAATGAGTTTTTAACGAACCTGAAAGTCACGCATGACTCGCGCACCCATCCAATTTATCAACCGTACTGCTTGCACACTGGACGGGGTATTGAATAGCGACTTCCTGGAGGATCTGGCGGTCTGCGTCGCACAATCCGTTGACATTGATGAAATTTGTGATAGCCTACAGAAGCAGGCACGCAGCTCGTCCAGCCAGAGACATTTGAGTTGAGGATAACCGGAAATGGTATGTTCTACTAACCCGATTAACTGAAGCAGAAGTCTGGAGGGCGGAGTGATGCAACGAGAATCATCCCCATGAGTCACACTGTCAGTCCGATCGTCTTCGGTATCATCTGCTGCCAAATGAACTTCATCCAAGTCATCCGCCAAACCCGTGCCCGGGCCACGAAGACTTAAACAACTTGTGGTGCTCGTTGTGGATGTGCTAGCTCTATCAACTTCCAAATGGGTCATTTGGCTGGCCAAAACGATCGACTGAAAGGAAGAGCGGTGNTGAAAAACATGCAATTACAGGGGGGTATGGTTCGGCGAACAAAAACATGACAATCTGTCTGTCTATGGAACACTCTCACTGTTTCCGTACACATGCAGAATAACGTAGATCACCAGTGAACTATTCTTTTGATTGGATGCTATTAGGGGACAACGTAGTACCTAATAAATTGACGGTGGTTGGGGTTGAAGTCACCTAGAGGCAATGCAAAGGTGGTTGGTTCTTCTAGATCAGTACTGCTCCACTCAGTCACTTGAGATACACAAAAGTTTGTCTCGAATTCGCATCTCACGAAACGGTTTTAGCCGCCTGGTACTGCTCACAAACTGCCCGCGCCGGGTAAACCATCCTTACACACACCAACATGACCTATCATCAACATCACAACCGACAGCAATTCACCTGCAGAAAATAAGAGCGCTTACTCTCCATACAACCACGAGGAAGCAACGACCTGTGAGAAGTTGAGAATAGACAACTTAATTCAAAAGATCTCAGTGCAAGCAAACAGCAGACATCTAACATCCGCTTCGCTACGAAGGCACCAGTGACCAGGTCTCAAGACCGAAGAGGTCAAGTTTCTAAATCACAGTGTATGGTTAATCGACCAGTTGCAATGTATGCATTCCTCCCTAGCTTAACTATCGCGTGACAATCACGGCTTATGCAGCTGTTCAGATAAATAACCTAATCAATAAAACTGGGTTCTCATTATGCAGTCCCAGGAACACTAATTCGAGTAGACATGAGGGTGAATTCACAATAGCAGAACAAGACAATATGGTTCATGTTCGCTCGTTTTTCTCTAGATTTGATTTCGGTGCACACACAAACTCCCAGAGCATTTCTTTTTGGCCAACTATATCCAGAAGAGTTCATCCATACACGGAAAATGTCCAGAAAAAAGGCGACTGTGTCAACGGCATGTGGCGTTGCTCTGACACTTGAAGTAATATAAGGAACTTCATCAGTGCACCTAACCCGCATAAAATTGTTCGCTATGCCCTCGGATCCAATGTCACGTGCAGAAGTTGAGTATCACAATAATACAGAAACTGGGGACCGCACTGTGAGGAGTATAGGAGTGTATATCTGTCTCGACCATCCATGGTTGGAACAGTCCTTCAGGAAAGCTCGCGAATAACACCACGAAAGCCCACTGACCCCGGTTATTCGAAAAGTATTCTTGTTTCCACATTGTTTCAAAAAATCTAGTTGTGGCAGAATAAAAAAGATTAAAAACCGCTCTAAATCAACCCTGGTGGAAGCTCATCTGGCCTGGTGAGCCCGGTGAGGCATCAGGGCAGAAATATGTACTAATACTTCAAAGGTATAGAAGCCCTGTTGTAAGCACTGAATGAGATCTGGCTAATGGTTCTACGTGACAATTAGCATGTGTAGGCCAAGTTTGTATATGGACTGACATCAGATTCGAACCTAGAAAGATGAGCGACGGAGATCCTTGCCTAGTCTTTGGCTCCAGTCCAGCAGTAGCTATTTTGGTGAAATAAGTCGCCAGACTTATTCCGATCCCCACGCCAGATGACCGAGAAACCGTGCTACGCACCTGATGGAAAGGACTGAGATGTCGCATCGGCACGCTCTAGTAAAGCTGAGTGGAACACTGAGGTATGCGCATCAAACAAGGTCCAGTGTCTACCTACCGCGAAGGTCTCACATTCTTCTTTTCTACTTTGGCCCCATATTTATTGCACGGTTAACAACAGAGCTAAGAAAAAGACGATTTCAAAACTGTCCAACGAAATAATCTGGAACTGGAATTCGGAAATTTGTCTCTATACGTATACGGTTAGGTTGTAGCATGAAGATTCTAACCCTTTTCAGCGGGCCTCCTAAACTAGCAGAAACCGTTCGGATCAGTTATGTATGGTTTCCAGTCAAACTCATTAAAAGACTTCAGCAACCGGAAATAAAATCGACTGTATGAATTATATGGACACTCTTTCAAACAAGCCCTGGGTGGACAATGAAACCACTACAATGAGCAGCAATCTGTCCATAAACGTGGATACGAATACAAAAAACGATGCAAGATTATTCATATCAGCCAAAACATAGAGTGAGGCAAACGTACTTCATGTAAATAACGATGATACAAACAATGCCCGAAAGCTTACATCGTCCGTTTGCGTTGAGCAGGCAACCTCCAGTTCGGCTTTACATGGCGACGGTCTCCGGCAGATTGTTTCTAATACAACAACCGCCCCAATGATACTGAGAGCCTTAGCAGTCAAACACGGACTGGAAAACTGTTTTCGGAGCAGCCCCAGTAGCTTCTCTTGGAAAGGTTTGTTTTCCCGGTCACTTGAAAGAACCCAAACGTAATAAAAGAGTTGGATGGAAATGAATGGTGAGATGCGACTCGATAATTAACGAAAATCGTGAAGTATTAAGATGATAGACTTCTAATAAATTCTTTAAAAAAGGGACAGACCGAACCACGGAAACGCTGTGGCTTGGCTACAGACAGCTTAACTAGAAATATAAAGAGTGCGATTCAATGTCATAGATCGGTAAGTCTACCAGCTATCTTACTATGAATGAGACGACAGTTCAGCAACTGCAATAAGAAGATTCCTCTGGGGCCCACGCGGGGAAGCAATAATCCAAAGCGAACGAAACGTCTTTCAGTATGTGGAGAGCACACAACGGCCCAATGCACAGCACTACTATTCAGTTTTAATCAGGTAAACTGTTTACATCCAACTTACCAGAAAGAAATCCAAGCCATAATGGTAAACAAGCATCTTGCATGATCCATAAGAACCACGAAACCCTGGTCACTTGTGGGGGTCTGTTGAGACGAGACCGACCGAAATAAATGATCCACCAAACCACCAAGCAATCCTTCGAATTTAACCAACTGGTGTGGCTGACGCTGAGCCAAACGTAATAGCGCGACCAGACCAGTTTGTATGGGACCAATGCATCTCATAGCTCCGATTTGGCGTCCAGTTGCTGATCCGAGTCCAGTTAGACCGTGGCGAACCAGATGTTTGATTATCTCCCGTTTTAGGCCATCAGTGCAACTCGATGCACAAAACGTTTCAATGTATAAACTCAGACCAAGTTGTCGAACCGTGTTGTGTGACTGAGACACACCCACCGCAGTACCAGTGACAGAAATTAACTGATCGAGAAAGTGTGAGAACGCTGAAAATAATCGCGTGCGTTCCGACATCAAAGTTGGACCAAAATCCATAAGAAATTGGTTTATTAGTTCCGCACGAAGACACCGAGGGAACATCCGGTCACTCAGGGCTAATCGTCGGACAAGCGAATCAGTTTCCTTCTGAAATCGAGTGAACTGAGATGACGCATTGCTGCACATCATCAGGGTTTCTTTGTATGGACCTTGTGGGGTACGTCCGAGAGATGCGGTGGAATTAGTGTCAACTGTGCTGTAGATTACGCAAAGGATGAGGAAATCTTGTATAGCCTGGTTATGGATAGTCGTCAATTCTACGGTAGACGAATCAGATAATTTCGAAATCGACGAAGTATCAATGGCGCGCATCCATCTAGAAAACACAAAGCGGAAACAAATTGCTAAAGCGAAACAATGTTCTCTACGTGTGCCCGTTTGCAGGAAGCAGCCTAGGTTAACTGTTATGAACTTATCAGAAAGGTCAAAGAACCCGTGAATATCTGATGCTCCAGTATCGATCAAAATTTACAAGAACAACGAAAACTGAAGGATGGATGAAAGAAGTAACAACAATAATGTAGGTGCGATTGTGTGGACTCACACTAACTTCCCTTTGGAGATTCGTTTACAGGCCTTAGATCAACACAGCGGTCAACGTCACGTAACCGGTGGTACCATCGTTAACGACTAACACAGTCGATTACGCTTAAAGTACTTTTTCAAAAAACAACACAGCGTCAGCACGAGCTCGAGAGAGCTCAGTGGATAAGGCGCGGGAATACTGACCGGAAGGTCCATGAGCCAAAATCAACCCTACATCTCGAATGCGGTATTTCAACCCTCGTGCTTCCTTCGGGTGACATAGCAGCTAGGTACCGAAAAGGGTGCTACAGCTGAGTGATTTTGATTTCACTTCACAGTGACGGCATGGCCCAGCATATCGAGGAATCAAGTTTTCTATTTTTATGTCACAGAAAACAACCTGGCAAGGAGAATTCCCTGTAATGAAGTCATCCGTACTAAATTGCAAACTGACTCATTATCACCATCATCAAGGACAGCAACATCACTGTTGTCACCGATGCTTCACTGCCGTACAACCATAAGGTTTGTCTATATATATATATACATATAATTATACTAAAAGCCCTAGGGTGAAAAGAAGAGAAAAANAGAGATCACGAAGAGTTTGGGTGTTGTTGGTGTTTTACGTCTCCAGCCAAGCACAGACGGGATCAAGGGGTTCCCATCCTGGAAGTCGCAAAACACCAACAACACCCAAACTCTTCGTGATCTCTGTGACGCCTTTCTGCCAAGTCATGTGCTGTCTACCTCGCGGTTTGCGCCATCCTGAAAGAGGAACGGAGAACAACACTCGTCTCGGTAGACGGTGTTTCGGCATGCGTAGCAAATGACCGAGCCATCGCAGTCGATGATGCTGGATGTTTTCCCGGATTGAGGTGCCTGCAACACAACCAAATACCCGTTTTCTAATCGCCTCGTTACTGACATGCTGACGCCATCTACAACCAGCCACGCTTCTGAGGCATCGGTGGTCGAAAACCTGGAGACGCCTCACATCATCTGTCCGCAGAGGCTGATTATGACAGAGATTACTTCGAAAGAATAGCAAAGGAAATGTGTCTGACTTCAAATTAGCAACATCAACGGCTCAACAGACAGTAGCATCAGCATGTTAATGCTAATCTGCCTTAACGGGACTGTTGGGTTTTCTGTATGGTCGGGCGCTAAGCTGAGGGCTACGTTTAACAGCACATTTTCGGCTGCTCCATCGGCCTCCCAATTAAACCACCTGAGATTGTATCAGGAAGCACTGGACGCATGTCTCCAGCAGTTTTGGGTAAACTGCGCGACCAAACATAGGCTTCTTTAGGCATCTAGTTGACAAGCATCAGATGGAATGATCGAATACACGAGAAAGAGTATTCAAGTGTCAAATTCGTCTGTCCGGTAACAAATCAGTTCTAAGTCATAAGACTGGTCATATGGTACTAGTCAATATAGATTGACTTCAAGTGAGGGATGAAACCTCCGATGATAATACACAACTATCCGCATACTATCATCAAACTATCAGAAAGGAAGACAACTTGCAAAATGCAAAAACTTCCCATCACCGGGAATCCAGGCAACGCGTAACAACGTGATATGAATCGCATAAATGGAATTTATCCAAACTGCTGGTCAGCCACTTGCAGCAGAAAGGTACAGTTTCCAACTAATACCAGGGTTCGAATCTCCCTTGAGCTTCATAAGATACGCACTGCTGATTCCCAATACGAATGATGCAGCTGTACAGTGCTTCTCGGCTTCAATGTGTAGATTAACACCATTTACAGGATGAAACCTCGACCAAAAATGTCCCAAATTTCCTCGGATTGTCAACAGACTATAAGAAGCTCAGAGGAAGAAATGATTCACACGATGATTGAACCTTCCATCTGAGAGGTCTTCACCCGAGAAGCCGATCGAAACATAGTCAAGTGATCGAAGGATGAGTGGTGTATAGCCTGTCTCAATATGATGTAATCATACTGCTGATCAGCCACTATTGGCATAACGGTACAGCTTCCAACTGGAAGCCTGGGGACAATCTGCTTTTCAAGTTGAGTGGATCCTCTCACATTTCATCTCCAGGATACGTCTACCCAGCCTTTCTCGATGTATTACTCAAAATATGGCTGTCCAACGTTGTCCCAACGTTAATTAGTGGGCTTGCTCCGCAGTTGTTTCTTCGTTTAACATGCTCTCCTACGCACCAAATAGCAAAGCAAAATGACAAACGAACTCGAAATGGTTCTGTGGTTAAGGCGCAAACTCCCGCGTTCAGAACCAATTCCTGCTCCTGCCTGGACTTGGACGACCTGGAAATATCTCAACCCCTGTGTTTCGTTTGGGTGGGGGGACGAGATGGACCAAGTGGTTAGAGTGCGAATTTACTGACCGGAAGGTCCATGGTTCGAACCCGACCTCTGCCTCTCGACTTCCTCTGTCTAGGCTTGGGCAACCTGACAGTATCCCAGTCCTCGTGCTTCCCTCGGGTGGCATGGCAGTTAGGCACCGAAAGGGTGCTACAGCTGGACGGTTTTCCTTTGGGTGGCGTGCCAGCTAGCCACCGAGGGTTGCAGCTGGATGATTACTTGCTTTATTTCTTATTTAGATGACAAAAACATGCCAACTTCCAAAAAATTACCCGACTGAAATCAACACCCCCGATAGCAGATGGAAATAAGATTTGGGCTGCTGCTTATCGTTCATTTGTCCGTAAACGAAATTGGTTTGTGTTTGTGTCAGCGAAAAGCTTGTTTAAATTCAACGGACTTGTGTCCATCCCCGGTTTTGTTACAGAACATTTGTCGGGCAAACTTTAGTACAACCTTCCCAAAACGCACTTTCCACATCTCACGTGCAGACGTATGTTGGAAATTGGGGTATTCGTCCTCCATGACAAAGAAGCTTTCAATTCGAGGTGGAAATTTGTTGCAAATATCGGAAAATTATGGCGATGTGTAAAAAAAAGTCTTCACCCGCCCACATACCGTTCCGGTACATATCCTGGAACCTCACAGACTACTCACCATGTTTGTAATATGCTTTGACATGGACGCAGCCTGAGATGAATAAAAAGGGACAACTCACTCTGTCATAAGCAATCGATTGAACCGATAAGCCAAACGCAAAAGTTCAACCAGTGTATCACCCACTGAGATCCCATGAAGCTCCAACGGCTTCCGAGGGAATATGAAATATTTTCGCAGCCGAATGATTAACCGGGAAGCTTCTGGAGAATTGCGCGCAACCTGTGGTCCATTGATCATTAGACAGCGGAAAATCGTAGGGAGGTAGGTGTAATATGCCTCATCCGTGTAGCATCGGTCTAGTAAATCGAAACAGGTTGTATGTAGTCGAGAGATCTGCTCAGCACTCATTGAAAATCCAGCAAGACAGTCCAAAAGACAATTTATTGGATCCTGTTGGTCGGAAACAGCGGAAGGATTGCGCCCCACCGGAACAGTGCGCAATAAATCCATCAGCTGTAGTACAAAAGCCGCACGATCCTCATCATTCAGTGCGCAGTTCGATGCACAAAGCGAAGAAGCCAAATCGGGAAGGATTCGCAATATGGTAGATTGGACGGGTGGGTCAGAAACAATTTGGAAAAGTTGAAGTAACCGAGTTGCCGTTTCAGAAAACGCTTTTTTGCTGCTAAACATTGTGGGTAGTCCAACAGGCGGGCGGAACTGTTCAAGCAATTGCTGTGAGTAAGAGGACGAACAGGCTCCAAGCTCCAGAACTAAATCCGTTAGTTCTGAATTAATTGATGGAATATGGAACAACAGTTGGAAAATTGTCGCCGGAGCCCCAAATAAAATAAGCATATCATCATCTACTGATGTGTCAGAAGAATCGTCGCTAGGTTTTGCAGTTAGCAATGGTACCAGCAAATCGGAAAAATTCGCTGAAAAGTCAGAATTTTCGGCCGGATACAATGCTAGATTACGAAGCTCTTGAATCAAGAGAGAAACCTGACTCAATGACTCCTTGAACTGAGCTTCAGCCAATTTACATCGTTCACGTGACGTATGAACAGTAGTCCATGGTGTTTTTTGACTAATAGCGGATGTATTTAGCGTGGATGTCGGAAGGTTGTCGAAATAGAATTGACCCGAGTGTGAGCACTTTTGTATACCCATTGTGTTCAATGTTGTCTGTAGTATAGGGCAAGGTATGACAAACATTGAGGTACACCGCGTACACTGAGAAAGCCACGAAGGAGAATCAACGGCATCAGGACTGTCGGACGACTCTGGTGGATTCGTTCCTCGAGGGCAACCAAAAGCCCCTGATATATGTCGGAGCATGGGGAAATCCCTTAGTAGTGAAGAGCTGAAAAAGAAAAGCCGGGAAGCACGGACATGTATGTAAAAAGAGATATGCGGAAAGGAATATATAGTGAGTCAAATCAAGATACAGTACATAGCATCACCTGCATTATGATCACTGTCATCATCATCACTCACTCAACATCAGAAGCAGTAATATCAGTGTTGACACTGATGCATCACCACTTCCATAAAGTCAATCTAATCATACTTAAAACCTTCGGGTAAAGAGGAAAAGTGGCTAAAAGATGGGAACTGGTGCTGGGCTGTGTCAAGCATTCTGAGGCGCCTACACCTCCAGACGATCCATAAGACAATCTGGAAAGAAGTTAACGGCATCAATGCTACTGATATCGATCAGCCGCCGTTTCTTGAAATGCCTCCATCCAAGCGCAGGCGGGGTTATGAGGACCCCATCCTGGAGGACGGTTCGCACACCTCTTGTTATCTCTTTCACACTTCTGCCAGGTCATACGCTGTCCACCTCACGGTTTGCGCCATTCTGAAGGAAGCACTGAGAACAACACTTGTCTCGATAGCCGGTGTTCCGACATGCCTAGCACATGACCGGGCCTTCGCAGTTGATGGTGTTGGATATTTTCCGCGATTGAAGTGCCTGATGCACAACCAAACACCCGTTTTCTAATCACCCCGTTACTAATTCACTGTCGCCATCCGACACCGGCAACGGTTTGAGGCATTGGTGGTCGAAAACCTGAAGACGCCTCACATCATCCGTCCGCAGAGGCCACGTCTCGCACCCATACGTAGCCTGGTACACATGACCCCTGAGACTCAGTGATATGCCCACAAGTGACGTAAGTTAGCAAACGTGATTCGAGCCCTTGAGATTCTTGTACTACCTTTATTGAACACTTCTTTCACAGCTCATACAACTACTCAGCTCATACTACAGCTCAACTACAGCTCATACTACTACTACTACGTAAAATTCTCCACACCCTACAATGATTCTTCTTGATTTCGTACTTTGAAGATACAAAGCACTTCAGAAAGATGGTATGACGGTGGTCAGTCTAGTTAACAGGGCTTATGCTTCGGTCTTCAAAGATTAGGACGATGTCGTCTGTGTGCTCAAGATCGACGATGTTCTCGTCGTCAACAATTTGAACACCTGCGTTTTGAAGACCCTCTAGTGGTCGCCACACTACTTCATCAATGAGGAAGTTGAACAGGAATGGAGGTGTACACCCTTGCCGAACACCACTTTTCGTGGGGAATAATAATAATATAAAATAATCGTCCACTGTAGCACCCTTTCGGTGCCTGGCTGCCATGCCACACGAAGGAGGCACGAGGGCTGGGATACTGCCAGGTTACCCAAGCCTAGGCAGGGGAAGTCGAGTGGCAGAGGTCGGGTTCGAACCACGGACCTTCCGGTCAGTAACTTCGCGATCTAACCACTTGGTCCATATCGCCCCCTTTTGTGTGGAGGCTTTTGGAGAGTTCATCATACACTCTCACCCACCCACTTCCTGGGTATATCCTGTTGCGCAAGTGCAGTTAACAGCAGTGACCGATCGACATAATCGAACGCACCCTTGAAGTCAAGTGACGCCAATGTTGTGTTTGTACATACGTTACTTTAACACCCGATGGAGTGTGAACGTGTGGTCAAAGCAGCCTCTACTCAGTCAAAATGCCGCTTGAGTCCCACGGGTCAACATCTCCCGTGGCATTATGAGACGACAAAGAATCAGTGACACCACAGGCGTTGATACAACAGGAGTCAAACTAATACCTCCATAGTTAAAACGTTTACTGCGAGTACCCCAGTTGGGAATATTCCTTTCCCTTAGATAGACCAAAATAGGCCAGACAGGCAGTGGCTGAGAAACCCACCATCAGGTCCAGCAGCACGATGACTCTTGAACCATACACTCGGAAACTGCTGAGGTTGAAGGTGGCTCCATATTCACAGTCCACATTTCTGTTGAAGACCGGCAGTCCGGATTGAAGGTAGTGGGTGGTCAACTGAATTGCTATTCGAAGTACTGTGCTCACCCGCCCAAACGCCCAACTTCACTGGATATCAGGGGGTGCCCACTAGCCGCAATGCTTTGAGCTGCAAATTCTTCAAGAGTGGAGTAAAACGTTTTGCTCCAAAACTTTGTACTTTGTCGTGTATGTGCTCGAACCAAAAACTATTCTAATCTATCTTGATATTTCTGCAGCTCACCAAATTTCATTGTCCACTGAAGCAATCATATCTCTGGCGGAAATGTCTGATGAAATAATTTCCCAGCATCGCTGAAACGCCGAGGTGCCTAAATAAAGCCCAAAAGTTTGGACGGGTACTCCGAACTCAACTGCCCGATTGCTTTAGTCCATCAGGGACACATCATAGCTTTCAAAAACTCCATTCCATTGCGCGAACACTGAGCTCCATATTTTGAATCCTCATGATCTCGCTGACAATAGGTTTCCGAGGTCCAGTCAAACAAATCAAGTCGAACAAATTGCAGACGTTCCCAGCATTTTTCCCATCTTCCATTTCTTCGGTGTTTCGGATCCACCAAGATTCTCCATCTGCACGGGCATTCAGTTTCACCTGAAGTCGGATGATGCTTTGGGTTGAATTTATTTGCGCCTAGCTTCCAGCAAAGGAATGGTCCTATCAGATATGCAATGTTTGGTGGATTAGGTCGACGGAGTTGTACCGCAAGCAGAAGATCCGGCGCTGAGTAGCTCTTTGGGTATGCTTTCCAAGTGACCGTTTGCATCCGACGTCGCACCGTCCAGCAGGTTGCTCGAGGATTGGGTGCTGATAGTTTCATTTGATATCTAGGTTCACTAGCTTCTCAATGGCTAAACGAGGTGTGCGCATTTTGCGTAAACCTGAAACGCATATTGAAAAACAGCAGCATACAAGTGTACAGTTATCACTACAAGTGCCGTCATAATAGCCATCACCAGAAACACCAAACCCGGTGCTCACTGCCGCGCAACCAAAAGTGTCTAATTATGCTTAAAAACAGTAAAGTGGAAAAAACACCCAAGCTGTTTGTCACGGACTTCGCATCCTTTCTCCAAGTTATAAGCTGACACCTCACAGTTTGCGTCATCCCGTAAGAAGGACGGAGAACACTGAGTCACGATTTTAATGTGCTTATTATTGTACTTACCCTGTATACTCGTATTGAACCGTTGTACGTACAGTTCAGTTCATCCACGCTCATTCTTATACCAGTGAAACGTTGCCTATCCTCGACAACCCTATCCTGTTCCTACTCGTTCTCGGGCACATCTAAACGTCTCATATTACTTGTCTGAGAACACAATGGACCCGCGGTTCCCGACGCCGGCCTAAACACCGCAGATGCAGGAAAACGCTGAAATCACTGGTTTAGTTCCTTTGAGACCTATTTTATGTCTGTCGAATCCTCTAAACCCGAAAAACTTGAAACTTTCATACACTATTTGGATCACATTGCTGATCAGCCCGACCATGAATCTGCGATCTACACGTTACGAAAATTATATGTCCGCACAAAAAATCTCATATATGCAGGCTACCTGCTGCAGACCCACAAGCAGAAGAACGGATGGGATATTGGTCAGTTCGTGCGAAAACTGAAACCATTAGCCAAAGGCCGTGAGTTTAAATCGGTAGCTGCAACTGAATGTCAAGATGAGTGCGTGCGTGATGTTACAATTTATGGCTTGGCGTCCACGCCCATGCGCAAAAACCTCTAGCACAGAGTAAACGCGCCCTGGACCAAGCATATCAATCCGCCAGATCCTTCGAGTTGACTCACAGTCACAGTCTTGTTAGTAACGAACCTATATCCTGCTCTACGATCCCGCTCATTTTACAGAATCCCGAACTACGTGTCAATCCGACCACTGCTGTCGTAAAATCCGTTCAATAGTGCCATTTCTGCGGCTATGACAGACATACCCTTCCAAAGTGCTTGAGCTGCAGGAGCCGTTTTCAATCTTTTTGGTAAGCGCGGTCACTTCAGCTGCGTGTTCATTTTAAAAAATACCAACAGGTTTCACACAAATCGTATAATGCAGCCCACTTTATCATCATTATTTGTTGCGGCCACACTTACCTGCCTGGAACATGCCATCGCAACTATCGGAGTCAATGGGATCGCTCTCCGTTCTCTGGTCGACACAGGAATTTCTTACGGTAATTCTGATGTCATTCTTTCCCCCTGCGAATCAACGGTGAAGGACGGTATTTCTGCTTCTCATTCTTTCCCATGATTCATTCCTATTTAAGGTATGCTTATTCTTCAGTTACTGATGCAAGTATTTGTTGTCCGTCCGCAATTGCCTACAGGATCCCAGTTACCACGCGCCGCTCATGGTTGCGTAACCTGTGCGGAATCTCTGCAGAATTTCTGCACCAATTTTTGGCTTTTAAGCCGCGGGAGATTCAGACGTTTAATAGGCTTCTATTTTGTCTCGCGGCAATAGAAAACCACAATACCCTGCATTTCCGCGTCCCTACGTCGACCGATTTAAGTGGTTTGTTTTAGTGTGCGGCACCACTGCTCGCAGGAATCTCTGCGTTTTGCTTGTCCCCACGTGCGGCTGAGGGTGAGTTTTATTGTGCTTTGATTAAACTTATTGCTGATTGTGATAATCAGAATAGTGGTAGGTATCGTAACTACCGAATGTACGCGAAGTATAGAAGTCCGAATATGGACGAATGAATATCGTATATTTTCGTATATCGCGGGCGTACTATATATCGCATCGTAAAACAAAGGCATATAAAAATACACTAAACAGAATGAATAGAATAGAGTCAATGTTCACCACATCCACCACACGTT